GGAGTATCTTAGATGGCTGCTCACAGGCTTTTAAGACCCCAGACACTACTCACCAAGGTAGAATGTAGAGCATTGTCTTTATAAGCTGTGTCATGCCAGTTGAGCTAGATGTTCCCTGAGAGAGAAGGCCATTTTTGTGTGATAGTGGCGACTAGGATGCATGGATTTTTTAAAACTCCATTGATTGATTTTCCAGGACCATCCTCATGCAAATCATGGGCATGGACTCGCCTGCACGGCCCGGCATTCTTGTTCAGAGACGGAGTAAGGAAGTGATGGACACGCCCTTGGACAACAGGGAGGACATGGAGACAGAGGAGGACGGAACCATAGAGAAGCAAGATGCTGAGATTGCTGGGGAGGATGATCAAGAGGTGACGCGCTTTCCTGCTGTCCAGGGGCAGCTTAGGCAGACGTGTTTGACTGGACAGGTGTTGAATCACTCTGCTGGGAATAATAAGGAGGAATAGTGTTGTCTGGGACTTCAGCTTGTACCTGGAATGAGTCCAATGTCCACAAGCATTTAAACCACTCTTCTTAGCCTGTCTGCTCATGATCTTAAGTCAAGTGTACATGCTGAGCCTAGAAAGGTGCTCATTTTTCCATTGGTGTTTTCTTCCTAAGTCCCCCTTCATCTCGCTTTGCTCAGAATCTTAGCATCTTTGAGCTGGAAGAGGCCTTGGAGATCATCTAGGAATTCAACTCTCTCTCATTACAAAAGAGAAAACGAGATGATTGCTCGTGGTCACACCTCCCCCGTGGCCGAGCTTGGGCCCAGACCCCGTGTCCCTGCTCTAGTTCAAGCTCCTTCTACAACAGCAGACAAGCATTGACAGGGCTGGTGACGCAGTGGTTAAGTGCTCGGCTGCTAACCAAAAGGTCAGCAGTTTGAATCCACCAGCAGCTCCTTGGAAATGCTATGAGGCAGTTCTGCTCTATCCTGTAGGGTAGCTATGAGTCGAAATCGACTCAATGGTAATGGGTTCTTGAGCCCTTGGGTAGTGCCCCCTAATAAGAACAACTCACGTGACCCCCCACCACCACGTAGCCCACATGCCGTCTGAGACAGGAGGATGGTCCAGCTGTCTCTTACATTTCCAACATGTCTTTGTAACGACCACTTCACGCAGAGACTAGCCCGTGTCATCAGATGTTATTTGAGGGCGTCAGTGTTCGTGTTTACACCATGCTGCTGTCACGTGCTGTCCTCCTGGCTCCTCCAAAGCAGCCTTACCCGTGTGTAACAGAAACAAGTGCTGCCCGGCCGTGCGCCAGCCGCACCATCGTTGCTGTTTGAGCCCATTGTTGCAGCCACTTTTCAACCACAGAAATATAAAAATGTGATTTGATGGATTTTCACTGCTTTCCTATATCAGCTAGAGATACTTTTTCTGTTTCTTACTAACCATGTGCAGATAACCTGTATTTTTAAAATCAGGGCTTGCTGCCCTCATAAACTGACCACTGACATTGTTTTTCCCATTCTCTTGCAGGGTGAGGATTTGACAAAAACTGGAATTCCTGCAGGCGTTGAAAATCAAAAAAGACCTTTAAAAGAAGTGACGTTTTCTAGAGAGGTAATTGTTGTGGATCTTGGGAAGGAATACCCTACACCTCAAAGCTATACTCGAGAGCATAAAGAAAGAAAATGAAGCTCCAATGCAAGCTGAGAGTAAAAGCAACGTAACCTTGGACCAACAGTGAAATGATTAGGGGCACAAAATCATGCTGAAACAGATAAATAACAGGAAATTAAGCCAATACAGATAGTATTTTTACCTTTGTGCAAAAAGAAATGTGCTATGTGCAGAATTCTGTATTTAAAATAACTCAGAGCTTGAATACAGTTTTTTAAAAAAAAAACAACTCAAATCTGAGTTCAAGAACTGGATTGTATTAAGTGTCCTTAAAATTCTGTCTACTCAAACACTGTTCTAACATATGAATAAAGTTATTTGTCTTTGTACAGGGATCAGCTAGGTAAATCATATTCAAGTGGGGACTTCTGAAACAGTGTGTTCTTTTTTTTAAAAAATATTTTATTGTGTTTTCAGTGAAAGTTAACACAGAATATTAGGTTCCCATTTGACAATTTCTACACAAGTTGTTCAGTGACAGTAGTTAAAGTTTTCACAATGTGTCAACACTTCATTGACTGTGTTCTGGTTGTTTCGTTTCCAGTGCTCTAGTCTCCCTATCCACCCCCCGCCCCCCGGTCTTAAACAGTACGTGTTCTTGACGATCCAGGCATCCATGACCAAATAACATTACAGCTGTCGTCATGGAAACTTCCAATAGCTGGGGCTACATAATCTGTTTTGAACTCAGTCCTGAAGTCTTTCTTATACTGACAGCTGCTTTTTATTTTTTATTTTATTTTTTT